GCCTCCGACTTCTACCTACGTAGTCATTTATGTTTGTGTGAGATGCTTATGTAAGCTGGCCAGTAGCACTAGTCGTGTAATATTGTAGACAATTATTATGCAATCCAAATATTTGCTTTCAAAATCAAACATTATTGTAGCATTTTAGTTTCTTGTCTGATTAATCATAGCATCTACTGAGCATATGATGACTACCAAATTGCCATAGTATCTGTAATGCCCATAGCATTGGCTCTGTGCTATATAGCCATGGCAGTGTGATCTATAGCACCCATAGCACTTTATAGCACTGGCAGGTACCTCTATAGCAACTGCAGGCAGTTCCATAGCAACCATACAAATTGACATTGCTATGGAACTATGGATGCTATATTGGACTATGTAGTGCTGTATAGTCATGGGATTTTTCTCAGATGTTACCTTCCCGGTAAAAGATGTCAACGGCGGAACAGGACGACTAATCGGCTTGGTTGGAGAAGTACCTATCGACTGTGGAAGAGCAAGGACGATCGCCCAATTATGGGTATCGGATTCTATTGACTTCCCTCTTTTGCTAGGGCGACCTTGGACATCCTCAAATTCGGTCGATATTATCGAACGGGACGGCACCTACCTCATATTCAACTACCCGGAACACAACGTGCAACTCGAACTCAAGGTCAGTACAGACTCGGACGACAACACTAATATTTCACAGACCATGGGCCTCACTGCGGACAACGGACTTAGCGAAAATCGCGAACGCGCCGGGCCGGAACGTCACCGGTGGCGTGAGAAGCCGCCGCAAGACGCGCCTCACGTGCTCGCCACGCGACTACCGGTCATGGAGGAATGCGACTCTCGATCTTATCTCTCAGCAACACCGCCACCCCGACGCCCGACGACCGACACCGACACCGACAATCTTTTGGACGACATCGCCGCTCCTTCGAACTCGCAACTCGCTCGCGCCCAGTCAAGAGGCAATTCCACGGACCTCGATTACGACGAATGCCAACGCGTTCAGGCGTGTATTGACGCGGCCATCCGGTCGGGTCAAGGTACGCCTCATGCTTGTTCGGATTCGCCGGATCTGACCGCCGTTACTGACCATCATCAGTTCCTTCTAAATCTAGGAGATCCTTATCATGCCCGCCTCTTCACTCGACCACTGCGCGGCGGGGAATGGACGCCCCTCGAAGACTCGATCGCCCATCTCCCAACGGGGATGCGCAGGTTACTCGGTACGTACGGCACCTTCGAAGTAACGCTCACCACCTCAGACAATAGGCGGACGCGCGTCCTCGTCACCTTGGCGCACCCTCGAACGGCTCCCGAACACACGCCCTCGCCGGATTTGGCCCGACTCCATCAAGAACCCACCGATATGGATCACCGGCACGACCTCGACTCGCCTCACGAAGCCTCATTCGGCAGGATCGACTCACGCAAACGTCTTCAAGCACCCGGCCCATCCGACAACAGCAATCCTCTCCATCTTTCGTCTTCCCCTCTCGACCTCCCCCATGCTCACCGCGGCAGAATCGTCGAACTCGACGATGCCGGTGAGTACATCGGCAGCACGCAAACGTTATCCAACTCAAACATCTCTAGGCACCCGGCGCGTCCATTGCTCCATAGGACAATAGCTGGCCGATCGCCGCCAGCGGACGCCTCGATTCTCGAACCGACGGTCTCTACCTCCACCAGCGACACCGGCGAGCCCCCACCAGTCGAAGCCTACCATGAACACATCCCCGACTCGCGAACCGAAGAGACGCCCGCTACGCCTAGGTCTCGGCTTAGCGAGCGCGGACGATCATCGCCGGTACGTACCGTTGCAGAATCTTCGAGGACATCGGTGATTTACGATGTCTCCTTGAAGATTCAGTCGTTAGGTACGTGCCGGGCGAAAATACGGAGCCGCTCGCAGCGAGACCGATGGGTAGAAACCCCGAACCTCGTACGCTCGACTCAAGACCCCGGACGACTCATCGAACACCTCAACGCAGCCGCCCTGTTTCGAGAAGAGATACACCCGCCCGACGGATCGAACGCGGTACTATACATCATCATCGCGCCCTCTCCCTACGCTAACGAACACGATGACTCTTCAGCCGACGGTAGCGGAACAAATACACCGAATCGGCGACAGGACGTACCTCCCGAAGATCCCCGCAGATGGCCGCCGTCCTTTCGACGCTCCGACCAGATGCCGCACTCCCCTTGCGAGCGGGACACGGGGTTACCACCAGACGGACCTAGCGAGGATATTAGAAGCACGGAGGACGCGATAACGAGGTATACCCGGTACCTCATATCACGTACTCCGCAGGCTAATCCGAGCGATGTTCCTTTCCTGCAGCACGTTCGGTACCGCTCTGCCGAGATTGGAAGCTGTCTGTTCGCGACGCGACCAAATAGGGACGAGGCGTCGACATCGCGAAACCTCGCGCACCACCCAGACAATACCGCGGACGACTCCCGAAGGCAAGATACCCACTTCGACTCCCAAACCAGGGCGCTGCGCAGGACGATCGGTGAGTTCGCTCCATGCCATCTGAACCAGTCGGCGCGAGGCAAGGCTTACCCAGACGCAATCCAGGCATACTCCGACTTTCGACGAGAAAGGACGGCCCCACTCGAAGGCAAGGCTATGGAACCGCCGCTCGTCAAACCCGCTATGCAATCCAACAGTCTTCTTCGGCAACCCATACGACTCTCGCACGGAACCATCGGTCCAGGCTCTCGCAATGAGCATAAAAGCTCAGGTGCGTGTCTGGACACCCAAGTCACCAGAAACACTCGCTTACCCTTCGCTAGTCTATCAAACTGCACGCCTCACTCGAATCCGCCCCCTATGTCTCATGCGCAACCCAAGATTTCGACGACGAACCTCACGCTCGATGCGTACCCGTCTCCGCCTCAAGAAACGACTTCTCCACTGGATTCTTCGCCCTCGACGACTCTCTCGCAACGGCCCACACCCGGATTCGACGCGACAGTCAACGGACCGCTCAATATAGGACTCAAGGACGATATGATGTACGCTACTCGTACCCCCCTCTCTGACGCTGAACTTACAGAAATTCTTCGGTTCGGCAGAGAGGAGGGCGGCTGGACTCGCCTTCCGGACCCGATTTCCCCTTCGCCGGCGAAGATCTATGCTCCGCAGCCCCGCCCTGCTACGAACCCCGACACCTCGTCGAACACGCTACACGCAAGCTCTATTCAATTCCCGAGCACACCGCACCCACTCACCGGACGCGTCCTCGACGACGAAGACTATTGGCCCATCGTCACGGAGGCCGAAGGAATAGGCGAAGATGTCGACTTCCCTGGGTACTACCGGGCAGCCGGTTGCCTCATCCCTCTCGGCGACCCTCTATTCAGCGAGAATCGGTTCAAAGCCCCGATCCGTGCCGAATCGCCCCCATTCTACCCAAACTCGATCCATCTCCTGATGGCCTCCGACCGCTCGTACTTCAAGACTCTCTCGGCGCCTACGACCCCCGAACCAGCTA